AGTGTTGAAAGCAGACAGGTCAGGTGTATATGAAAGGGAAAGAAAGTAGCTGAAAGAGTCCCATGGAATCCTCTCAGAGGGTGATTGTTATAGGATGGGTCTCATCCAGTGACTACCCTCCTTGAACTTTGTGCTGATTGCTTGATGGCTTGTGTAGATACCCTCCTGGCTCTTTTTTTCTTTTTTTAATTGGTTGATTAGGCACCTAGGGCATTATGGGAAGAAATGTTTGTGTGAAAATCTCCCCCCTCCCAAGGCACTATGGGAACTAGAAGCTCCAAAGCAGGCTTCTTGTTATGTGTTCATGGTATCCGCCACGTGTTATGTCTACCACTTTGTATCCCTATCTCTATAGAAGTTCCCCTTTCTTTCCCTCAGTGCTGGCATGACTGCCCCATCCCATAACCAGTCCAACCCTGTATCTCCATGAGGCCAGACTGACCCTTGCTTAGGAAAGCCACCTTTCCCTATCTGGTACCCATTAATAGAATACTCCCTGGGTAATTCTCTCTAATGTTCCTGGGGGACGAGGGGGAACAGGGTGTCTGTGTATTGTATAGCCAGGCATTAGAGGAAGAATGTTGAAGCTCATTGGAGAAGAGCTGGAATTTGAGACTCAAATCTTTGGTATCTTTTAGCTCCTAAATCATTCTGGGACCCTGAGGCAAAAGATGAGAAAGTGTTGTATCCAAAGATATAAACCATATATAATGCCATCATCTATCTCCAGGACTCCTCCCTCCCTTCATGTCTTCAACAAAGGTTCACAGAGCACCTGCTTTTTCTGACTTTTACTTCGTTTATACCCAGAAGCAAGGTCCTGGGGCAGCTGTGATACCTTGGATGGGTAGATTTGGGGAACACAAAGAACTTACAGTCCAGTGGGAGAAATGGGCATCAAACAAGGTCTATGCATAGATCTAGGGATTAAAACTAAAGTGTTCCCTGGAAGAGCAAGATCCTAAGAGAATATGGAACATGTTTACAAACAAGACCACACTAAAGCTACCAGCACGACTATGTTTATTGCAGCATTATTTACTATAGATAAGATATGGAACCAACCCAGATGCCCCTCAGTAGATGAATAGATCAAGAAAATGTGGTATATATACACAATGGAATTCTATGCCTCCATCAGAAAGAATGACATTGCCCTATTTGTTAGGAAATGGAAAGGCTTGAAAAAAATTATATTAAGTGAAGTAAGCCAGGCCCAAAGAAACATAGGTCCCATGGTTTCCCTTATTTGCAATATCTAGTGTATGTCTGAGTCAAGCAGAAAAGGTCAAATAAGTTGATGTTAGAGAAATTAACCCTAAGACATGTATTCAAATGTTTTTTTTCTTTCATGCGATTGTTTCTAACACATTTATAAGATTATTTCTTTGTTGCCTTGTATGTCCCTCCCCCACAGTATAACCCCTGCATTCACTGTATTTGATGTCGGTATAATTTGTGGAGGGGAAGGGGAAAAACAAATTGTTTAAATAGGGATACAGGTGGACCCATTGCAACAATGAGATGTACAAGTCGTTATGTTGAAAACGAACTTTACAACTTTGGTGGGGGGGGTGGGGGCAGGGAGGATTGGGTGGGGGCCAGGGGCAGGATGGGAAGGATGGGAAGAGGAAACAAAGGAGGAGGCTACAATGCTTGACAGGAAATATACTCATTATCTTGCCCATGTAATTGTAACCCCTCTGTACAGTATTTTCACAATTAAAAAAAGAAAAAAGAAAAAAGAATTGATTGGGGAAAGTGTCTCAAAGGCTGTAAAGTACTGTGCGGTTGGAATAAGGAATAGAAATTGCCCAGGTTCAGAGTGTAGAAAAGTTTGCTCAAGTGAGGGTTCGTCCTTGGTGGAGCTTGCGTAGGATCAGTGCATGCTCTATAAGAGGGATTTAAGAGTAATTGGCGGTTCTGGACAACAAGGCCGGGAAATGTGGCAAGAGTAGGAATAGAAGTGAGGCCACTGTGAGGGCCTTGCAGACTGAAGCACAGCGTTTGAACACTGTCCTGATGTTCACAAATGGGACACTTGATTTCCCACCTCTCTGTTCCTAGGGTCCAGAATAGTTCATGAGTTGAATGTATTTGTGGAACAAATAACGCCTCTCATTCCCATCGTCTGCAGGGCCTGGGATCTACTCCCTTAAAAATTTGATGAGATTTTGGTTAAATAAATGATTCATGTTTTGCATTTAAAGAAAAATTGACAGGTTGTTTTCCCTGTAATGTCAACAGTGATTTTACTTGTTTTCATAGCTATACTTTGAGAGATGTTTCTGTAAACAAATCATGGCCCTGTTGCTAATTTGAAACACACACACACACACACACACACACACACACACACACACACACACACACACACACACACACACACACACACACACACACACACACACCAATCTGAGAATCAGAATCCAGTTTCTGACCACCTGACTTTAAGCTAACACCCCCATCAGTCCCTCGGTCACCTTCCCAGCTATGCGATCCTCTGATTGCTATCTGGGTATCTTCTGAGGTTCTTTGCCCAGTGGAACTTTCCCAATGTCTGTTTTTCCCTTCTGTGTTCTGGTTTGGTTTGGGTTTTTTTCCCCACCCCCTCTGTGAATTGCTTGACCGATGCGAAGGCCCTGGGCGCCCTCTGCTGGTGGAGGCCATACAGGATTGTAGCCAACCGCCAGGCAGCTGCGCAGGGACCCCAGTACCTAGGAGAAACACTCCCATTCCTATCTTAATCATTAAGTGCTCCATGCTGACCTGCCTCCCTCTCTCCCAGCCTTCCACACTGGTGGGCTAATTTCCTTCTTTCCATCCATCCCTTCTCCATGCACTTGCCCAAGTCCCTTTCTGCTTCCTGGGAAACCCTTCATCCAAGAAAGGGTGCCTTGAGTCAGGGCTCTCCTGCCTCTTGCAGTTGTACTCTGCCTTTTCTCCCATTGTCCATTCAGAGTCATTCTTTCCTACAGCGGGGAGGCTGTCTTGACCAAAAAGCACAGGGATTGGAGAGGGTCACTGGAGAAGAGAAGGTGGCACTGTTTCCTTCTGCTGCCGTTATAAAAATACTTCCGGAGAGGATTTGAAATGGAGACAACTTCCCTCAGGGGATGAAATAAGCCCAAAGAAATCACCACTCGGGCTGGGAAGGTGGCTCAGTGGTAGAGTGCTTGCCTTGCATGCATGAGGCCCTGGGTTCGATTCCTCAGCACCACATAAGCAGAAAAAGCCAGAAGTGGCGCTGTGGCTCAAGTGGTAGAGCGCTAGCCTTGAGCTGAAGAGCTGAGGGACAGCGCCCAGGCCCAGAATTCAGGCCCATGACCGACAAAAAAGAAAGGAAAAAAAGAAACCACCACTCACACAGCTTTCCTCTGCCTGTGTAAGTAGGGGAATATGACAATGCCCGCTTTGAGGCCTTGCCATGAGGATTGGAGAGGTCACATTGACACCACCCCTGTGTGCAGTCAGGTTGTGATCTGCTGCTGGTCTCCTGCTCTCAGAGCCATTGTAGCTTTCCCTTCCAGCTCTCCCAGCTGTGTGTCCTGGGCAGAGCTTTGATTACCCTGTAGTTTGGTTTTTGTCTTCGTGATTCTCATTTCAAGGCTGCCCGTTCCAGGTGGCAAAAGAAAGCAATAAACATCCTCCTCCTGTTGTTCTTGCCCCTCCCTCCCCTCTCCAGGTTTATACTTAGTGTCTCCAACTCTGAGGGTCTCTGAACACCAAGTGTCCTCAAAAGTCAGGTTTAATATAGAAATGACCTTGACCCCATCCAGGCAGACTGATTGGCACATTTTGTGCATGCACCTCCCCCCCCCCCCAATAGCAAGCAGCAAACTCCCCACCCACCACTCCTCTTGGCTGATTGCTTCAATTTTAGGTAGGCCTATTGTTTGAAGAATGAAGCCAGCCCCCTGTTCTACACAATTGCCACTGTCCTTCAAAACTACATTGGCAGCCGAGTGCCAGTGGCTCATGCCTGCAATCCTAACTACTCAGGAGGCTGAGATCTGAGGATCGCAGTTGAAAGTCGGCTCAGGCAGAGAAGTTCATGATGCATTGACCTCCAGTGAGCCAGCAAAAAGCTAGAAGTGGAGATGGCTCAAGTGGTAGAGTGCCAAACTTAGGTAGAATAAGACGAGAAAGTGTGAGACACTGAGTTCAAGTCCCAGTACTAGTATACACACAATAAACACATGCATACATGCACATATATATGTATACATATACATACGTACATACATACGTAAATACATTTTTGCTCATGATTTAGTCCTCTGGCTCATTCAGGGCCTGGGTTACCTACCCATTGGTGAAGGAGTATGAAGTTAGGGCTGGGCAAAGAACAGTGTTCTAGGAGTCAAGGCACTGTGTTTGAATCTAACCCACTGGCTAAACCAACGAAGTCACTCTTCTTTTCCAGTTTCCCCACCTGTAAAGTGAGGAGGATGAGCCCAAATGCTTGTAAAGTCCCTTTCACGGCATGAGCATCCATGTTTGCTTTAAGACTTGCTTCAGTGAAACCTTGTCCCCTCATTCTTCAAACTTTTTTGTGCTCTTCTACGTTCCCTGACATCTCAGTTGATCCTTGTCTTTGTTTAAGCAAGGGGACAGTTCACAGCTGAACACTGAGCTGAGAGAGCATCCAAGAACGTCTTGAACAATCGGCAGCTTGATCTCATGCAGTGTTTACAACAGCCCTGAGGTCTAAGTCTCCACTTTGAAGTCAAGGAGACTGAGGCTCTAAGAGAACACACAAGTTACTGGAGATCATACCGTCAATCAATAGTTGGGCTAGCCTTGGAACCTCTAAGCTGCCTGGCTCCCCAGCCTGTCCTTAGCACTTGTGGAGCTGGGATCCAGGAGACTGGAGGACCCATGGCAGGGCATCGAGGCTGCCAGTCCATTCCATCTGTAAGACACCTGCCTCCGTCCTGCACCCCCAGCTCCCTCCCTCCACTCCCTCCATTAGGCTGTGTCTCTGCTCTTCTTCACAGGGAGAACAACTTCATCAAAGACTTTCCCCAGTTGGCTGATGGGCTGCTGGTGATCCCACTGCCAGTGGAAGAGCAATGTCGGGGGGTCCTCTCCGAGCCGCTCCCGGACCTCCAGCTGCTCACTGGTAAGACTTACATCCAGACCTTTCCAGGCTGGCTCCCTGACCACACACCACGCACATACATCAGTCTTGAGCAAATCCAAGATGGGTCTGACCACACCTTCTCATTCATCAAGGATGGGATGGGCTAGGTACCATTGGCTCACGCCTGGAATGCAGGCTGAGGTCTGAGGACTGAGGTTCGAAACTAGCCTGGATTAAAAAAAAAAAGTTTAGCAGATGCTTATCTCCCCTTAACCGGCAAAAATGCTGGAAGTGAACTGTGGCTCACGTGGTAGAGCACCAACCAACCTTGAACAAAAGAAGCCAAGGAAGAGCTCCAAGCCCAGTGTTCATTTTCTTGGGTTCTTCCTATGACCTGTGTAGATTAAGAGTCTTCACCGAGCACTGGGAACACACATCAGCCTTTCTCACTGGGAGCTTGTCTCCCTATTCACCTAGCCAACATCTTTCACTGTCTTGACAACTTTCTCATTCTTATGCCTTTTTAACTTTCAGTACCTTTTTGTGCTTTCTTGGTTCATTTTAAAAATCATTCTAAAGTAAAATCAGTGGACTCTCCAACCTAGAGCATTTCCTCCTTGAATTTTAGTTTATGTATGTGGGCACAAGCTATTTGTTAAGAGGGTTTTTTTGGTTGTTTTGGTTTGGTTTGGGTTTTGGTTTTTGCTGGTTCTAGGGCTTGGACTTTGGACCTGGGCACTATCCTTGAGCTTTGTTTTTGCTCAAGGCTAGTGCTCTACCATTTGAGCCATAGCCCCACTTCTGGCTTTTTCTAAGTTGTTTATTGAAGATAAGAGTAGATTTTCCTGCCCAGGCTGGCTTTGAACTGTGATCCTCAGATCTCACCCTCCCTGACTAGCTAGGATTACAGGCCTGAGCCACCAGCACCCAACTACGAGGGTATTCCTGTCCCAACTTGTAGATATGAATGTACACTCAGAGCAGTGAAGACTAGCCCGGCATCACACAGCACCTATGCTGGGACTGGGCCTGTCCTTTGCATTGTCATGTCCCTGGCACTCCCTCCCCCTCAACCTCCCTATTTCCCGACTGGACAGTTGTATTTTGTAGGCTCTCCTGACCCTCACCCTAGGATGCCTTTCTACTCTTTCTTGTTGTTGTTGCTGGTGTGTGTGTGTGTGTGTGTGTGTGGTGTGTGTGTGTGTGTTTCTCACTTCCTCTTGATTCTAAGCTTTGCCATTGGGTATTTGTGTGGCACCCACTGACAGAAGATAATGGCCACCCCCATGGGAAATTGAGCTATCTCAGAGAGAAGGCAAGACCACCCCCCATCACTTCACAAGCTCTAGGGAGACCTCATACAAATTGTCAGGCTTCCATATGCCTCTGTGGTAAAACAGCAAACAGCAGTGAACCCACATGGGTGAGGGCCTCCTACGGGAACGACTCTGGTATGCATAAACCCACAGGATCTTGCAAGGGTGTGATGCTTCCTATAAACCAGTTCAGCTCTTCCTATAAACCAGTTCAGCTCATATATTCCTTTTAAGGCAACATGAGTAGGCTATAGACATATCATCAGAGACTAAACTGAGATGACCTGAACTCCAAAGCAGATACTTTACCCACTGTCCCCTGTCTTTCATTACCACCCTGGCTTGTCTAATTCCAAAAAGGATGTAAATGAAGTGAAGTCATAGATGTTAAAAAATGCGTTGTTAAATGAGCCTATAAACTTCTAGGCTTTCCTTGATGGTTTTTTTTTTTCTTATAAGATCATAGAAATCCCAAGCTGACATGAAATAAAAAGGGCATCTAGCTAGATCTTCCATACTAGTGAGGAGTCGGGCCTACAATATGCCTATTGAGTGACAGTCCCTTGTTGGATGCCCTCGGCGGGGGGAGGGAGGGGACGGGGGGGGGGGGGGACAGATGGGCTCATGATAAATGCAGAGCTACTGTCCTCTGATAAAAAGTATTTTGGACCAATCATTGATCATTGTCTGTTCTTCAACAGTTTCCCCTGTGAGACTTAGAGTATAAACAAGTCTTTTGCCAGATTATAGTGAGAAATAGAGACTGTAGGTACACATATACATATATGTATAATGCTTGGTTTATTATGATTCTCTGGCAATGTTACAAAATGATATGATTACTTGTATTGACTCAGGAATCTTTTGGTTTTGAGATGGAGACTCTATGTAGCCCAGGTTGACCTCAAATTCATCATTTTCCTGCCCTAGTCTCCCAAGTGCTAAGATGTATAGGTGTGTGCCACAGAGATATTTGAAAGTGTTCTAGTAAAAGATTTGCTATAGTGTCTTGGTTTATTTTATTTTATTTTTTAACTGAATTGCCAAAAGGAAAAAACAAAAAACTCCCTACCTCAGTGATTTATTCCACCCACCCCTCCACAGGTGGAGATCTGGAATAGAGTCGGGCTTTCTGTGGTCAGGGATAGTATAAGATCAGGGACGGCTTTATGAAGAAGAAGGGAAAATGTGACCACCGGCCAGTCTATAGGTTTTTGAAAGCCTGCAATAGGCAGGCTTTGCTCTATACCCTGTTTTAGACAGGTGGGAATAATTTTAACATTCTACACATGAAGCTTTATACTTCAGGCTTGAGTCTCAGAAATCTGAGAGTTGTAAAGAAGTAGGAAGTAGATGCTGGCCACTTATGGGAGAGAAGTAGGGATATAATGAAGGGCAGAGAAAGCAGATTTTTTTTTTAAATAAAGTATTTGTCAATCAAGAGAACATGGTTCCCTATTCTGGGCATCCTTCCATCAACTGAAAGATAATAAAAACTTATAGCAAAATAATAAAAATCCTGTATCAAAATGGTCAACTAGCCAGGCACCAATGGCTCGTGCTAATAATCCTAACTATTCAGGAGGCTGAGATCTGAGAATGGAGGTTTGCAGCCAGCCAGGGCAGAAAAAGTCTATGTGGTTCTTATCTCCCATTAACCAACAAAAGGCTAGAAGTGGAGGTGTGGCTCTAACCGTAGAGCTCCAGCCTTGAGCAGAAAACCCTGTAGGATAGTGCCCAGGCCCTGAGTTTAAGTCCTTCCCTCTTTTGGAGATAGGCTATTGGTCAGTAATGCCCCCATCATTCAACTGCGGGTTTGGATAAGCAGTGGTGGATGGGGGACAGAAGCTCCCTGACACCTGACGTTAATGTTTATAACACTTTCTCTGCCCTGAGTTAGAACCACTACTCTGTCCTCCCTCCCTCCTTCCCTCTCCTAACTGCTCTCCTTTTGTCTCCAGCCTCTGCAAAGGAAAGGCAAGAAAGACAGAGGAGATAAACAGTAAGGACACATTTATAACCAAGCAGCCTTGCTCCAGTGGACATATCTTTGGGGATCATGAATATTTTTACTTTAAAATGAAAGCCTCTAAAAATTATATTATTCCTGAAAAGCAGAGAAGGGAAAAAAAAGCTGACAGTAATGGACAACTTTAATTCTATAGTAATGTCCAAGAAGAAATCATTTGTTCCAATGAGAGTCTCATTTTAATCTTGGTATCAAATTTCTCTTTAAGTGCCTCCTCACCAGGGGACTAGAGGAGAGGAGAGGAAATGTGCCTGTTATTTGCAGAGGCTCAAGAAAGCATGGATTCATAACAACAATAATAATAACTGCTGACGTGAGGAGAATTTCTTTTCGAAAGTGTCATCCTGATTACACACACACACACACACACACACACACACACACACAAAGCAATTCCAAAGCTTAGGGTAAAGAATTTTTTAATGAATTTTTTAATGAAAATAGATATAAATCAGAACGTAAGAATTTTTTCATACATCCACTACCCAGTGTTAACCACTTGCAAAACGTTTTGTGGTGGTTTCTCTTTGTTTTGTGGTTGTTTATACAACATCTGTGTTTTCTAGAATGTGGTCTGTGGAACCTGTGTTCCGCTGATCCACCCGTGTGAAAGGATTCAGATACATTTACACAGTACTTTCATTGGAGCCTTAAAATGCCTATTTGTTTATTTAAGTGGCTGATCATTAAACATGTTAATTGGTTGAGCTAGTGTTTCCCACTCTTTTACTTGAAATGGAAACTTCCAAATGGGTCCGCATGTGTTTTACATAGCACCATGTTAAGAAACAATGGTCTCCATCAGGACTAAGCATAATCTGAGATGGTTCTTACCTGTTAGGTAAAGGGGAAGGCTTAAGAGAGAAATCGCAGAGGTGTGGCCGAGATCAAAGGCATCCAGATAAAAATGGCAGACCCCAGTGGAAGCCTGTACCCAAACACTGGGCCTCTATGACTCAGAAGAGGTGATCATCCACCATCCAGAGCTCAGAGCTTGCAGGACGACCATTGTGGTCCAAGCTGTGTCCATTTCTGTGTTCATGTGTCTTTGTCATTTCTCCCCCCGCCCCACCCACCTCCAGGAGACATCAGGTATGATGAAGCCATGGGCTACCCCATGGTGCAGCGCTGGCGGGTACGGAGCAACCTCTACCGTGTGAAGCTGAGCACCATCACTCTCTCGGCAGGTGAGGACCATCGCCTGGACACGTGGGGGTAGCCAAGAGGATTTGGAGTGACCCCCCCATTCCAGGTTCCCAAGGATCTAAGGTTATGTGCCAAGCCTTGGCTGGCACAGGGCATGCCAAGAGAAGGAAGGTAACTGGAGAGGAGAGCAGGTTCGCCCGGCGGGCAGTGAGATCCATATGGTATGGTAAGGTCAGCTCCAGGATGAGAAGGCCATGACCCAGTTGGAGAATGAGCTTCCTGGATGCAGGAATATCTGGGCAGGCTGTGGCAAGACTGAGAGCCGAGAGAAGATAGATAAAACCACAGTGTGAATCCTGTTGGTCCCCTGGAAGGAGAACCATGGCAAATTCTTCCCTGGAGCTAATCCCCAGGTCCTCTCTAAGAGGACAGCACATAGTCCTCCCCCTCCACACCCCATCCCCACCCCCCACCTGACCTTGGGGACAATTTGTCTTTCTCAAAATGAGACACCTTTGCTCACGACGGTGGTTTTGAACCTCTAGATTCCCTCACCTGTTTCCTTGCTCAGGGATCCTGCGCCAAACTACTCTTTGTTACCTCTTCCAATCTTCTTTCCTCTTCAAACAAAGCAAGAAATTCCTGTGCTAGGATGCCTCTAGCCAAGCACTAACAGGTGCCTGATTCATAACTTAATCTTTAAAAAAAAATCCTTGCTGAGCAACGGATGGCTCAAGCTTGTCATCCTAGCTACTCAGGAGACTGAGATCTGAGGGTCATGGTTCAAAGCCAGCCTGGGCAGGAAAGTCCGTGAAACTCTTACTCCAATTAATTACTAGAAAACCAGAAGTGGCGCTGTGACTCAAGTGGTAGAGGGTTGGCCTTGAGCTGAAGAGCTCAGGACAGTGTCCAGACCCAGAGTTCAAGCCCCACAATGGACAAAAAAAAATTATTTTATCTTTATTGGTTCAACACAGAGATTCAAACTCAGTGCCTGATGCTCTTTGGCTCATAGGCTGGCACTCTACCAACTGAGCCATGCCTCCAACCCCTCATAACTTAATTTTGACTATCTCCCCCACTGACCTGACTGAACACTGAAGTCAGTACCTAGGGCTTGTGTATTCTACTCTCCTGAGAGCTTAAGGCAGAATCAGCCGAAATTGGACATTTATGTTTGATGAAAGAATTAAAATAAATAATAAATGAAAACCAAAAAAGAAAAAGAAAGCATGTCGAATGACAAGACCTGGTGTAGGGTTTTCTGGCTGGCTGACTCATAACCCTGCCACTGGCTTATTTAGCCCTGAGTTCTTGTCTCATTTTTTTCCCTTAAACTTCTTCAATGTATTTTGTTCATCAGCAAAACGGAGCTCTCTTAGCTTGGAAAATTGAGAGCTTTCCCTTCTGACAGTAGTTATTGCTGCTGTTAAGTACTTTATAATGTTTCATATGTTATGCCTTAAAACAGTCCTACAAGAAAAGCATTATTTAACCTATTTTTTATTTCAAACCAGGAAACTGAAGGTCAGAGAGGTTAAGTAACTAACCTCAAGATGCACAGCTAGCAAGGGGCAGATTAGGGAAAATAACAGGGATTTGATTGCATTTGGGGGGGGGGGTCCGGCCATGGGGCCTGAACTCTGGGCCTGGGCGCTGTCCCTCAGCTCTTCAGCTCAAGGCTAGCACTCTACCACTTGAGCCACAGCGCCACCTCTGGCTTTTTTCTTTTTGCTTATGTGGTGCTGAGGAATCAAACCCAGGGCCTCATGCAAGCAAGGCAAGCGCTCTACCACTGAGCCACCTTCCCAGCCCTTGATTGCATTTTTTTTTTTTAAATCTTCCTGGATAAAGATCCACAGAGCACCTCCCAGACACTGTTATATATTACTTAATAGAAATATGGCATTATTAATACTGCTGAATTAATTATCCAGTTGCATGAGTTAATAGGTGATAGAGGTTATTCTAATCAAGTACCATTTCTTTGAGCCCTTTTTCTGTTTTCCTACCACCCCTTCACCCTGCACTTGCGAATGAAACTGTGAAGTTCCTATTAGGACTACAAAGGTGTACTGCCTTAATGAATCAGTAATGATGCTCCTGGAGCCACCTTGTAAATCAAATGTTGGCAAGTTGGAGCTCATTGTGGATGTTGGAGAGATGCAGGCTCCACAGTGCGACACAGAATTGGCTGCTGTGCTGGTGGTTGTGGCTGGTGTGTGTGAGTCTGCTGTGATCTAGGGACTGAGCGGGGAAGGTGACTGGGGTAGGTCATGGGAGGAGGAGGCTGCACAGGTGTAGAGACAGCTGAGGTGGGGCTTCCACCTGCCACGAGATAGAGCCGGAACTACAAAGAGCAGGTGCTCAGCCCCGAGCCTGAAAGGCTTCCTAAGGAAGGGTGAGTTTCAGGGCCCTGAGGAGGAATGGACTTGGGCACTGGGGGAGATGCGCCTGTAAAGGAAGAAAGGAATGTCAGGTTGCCTTCGAGACAAAGGCTGGAGGGAAAGCTTGCTATGTGAAGCTTAGGAGAAATGATCCTGCAGGTCCAAAGGCTCTGGAATTCATCCAAGAGCAGGCAGGAGCTCAGGCAGGTCTGAAGAGTAGGATGTGAGCTGGGCACTCCAGCTCCTAACCAATCAGGAGCTGAGAGCTGAGCCATGCAGTAAAAAGCCAGCTCAGGCAGGAAAATCCCTGAGATGTTTACCCTCAATTAACTATCTAAAAGCTGGAAGGAGCCGGGCGCTCATGGCTCATGCCTGTAATCGTAGCTACTCAGGAGGCTGAGATCTGAGCATCACAGTTCAAAGCCAGCCTGGGCAGGAAAGTCTGTGAGACTCTTTTCTCCAACTAACCACCAGAAAACCGGAAGTGGCACTGTGGTGACTCAAGTGGTAATGTGCTCGCCTTGAGCTGAAGAGCTGAGGGATGGCGCCCAGGCTCAGAGTTCAACCCCCATGACTGACGAAAGAAAGACAGAAAGAAAGAGAGAGAGAGAGAAAGAAAAAAAGAAAGAAAGAAAACCTGGTAGAGGTTTGGCTGTCATGGTAGCGCACCAGTCTTGAGTGAAATCGCCCTGAGTTTAAGCCCCATTAAGACACAGATAAAGAAAGGAAAGGAAAAAGAGAGCGAGGAAGGAAGGAGGGAGGGAGGGAAGGAAGGAAGAAAGGATTAGAGACAATTTTTGAGGAACAGATGATGTTCAAAGGGGACAGTGCATGGGGCGGGGGTGGGGGGCAGGGGCCTGAGCTCTGTCTTCGCTGTGGTGTTATATCATCTCTAGTCTTCCTGCTGTGTGTACCAGTCTCACTATGGATGAGACTCCCAGCATCACCAAGTATCTCCTGGAGGACCTGGCCAAAATGTCAGCTAGGTTTAAAAAACAAAAAGCAAGCCTTTTCCTACACTCAGCGCTCTCTAGGTATTCTCAAGCTCCAAGTCCAAAGCAGCCTGTTTTGGAGTAACCACTTCTCAGTCCCGGCTTCCTTAGCAGTTTGCCGTGGGGAAGCTGAGCTGCCCACTGTGGAGGGAAGAGCAGGGTTAGCAGCTGAAATGACAGAACCTCCCCCCATTGCCGGGAGACTCTGAGACAGTCGCTTGGTTTGAGGGGAAAAAAAGAGAGTGGAAAGAGCCGTCACTGACTGATGGTACTGGAGGCCTTTTGCTAGGTGCTGAAAACTTAGCAGAGGACTAAGGGAAAATAGAACAGCAAGAAGGCCCAGAGGCCATTTTGGGAGAGAGAATATACCAGTATAGCAGGAGGGGAAGAGCCAAGATAGAAAGGGAGGCAGGGGTCCAGGAAACTGAAGCAGGGCCAGGGCTATACTGAGCCCCAGGGGGAATGCAGCCCAGGACTCCAGCTTGTGGACAAGGCCTAGTTTACTTGGTGTGTGCACATGGGAGTAAAAACATAAGGAGCTTTGACTCCATCTCCTCCAGCTAGAGGATTAGACTCATCCCTTTTATGACTTGCTCATCTGCAGGATGGGGTGGTTGTGCTAAACAGTGTTTAGGCTAAGGTTCAACTAGAAAGAGTAGATGAAATCATCTAGTGTTGTGTCTGGTTCACGTGAGTGCCTCAGTCCGTAGATGCTCTTTTTGGCTTTGTGATTGTCACTTGAAGGTCACCCCTATGGAGATCACTGGGGTTAGGCCTTCTACTGCATAGTTCCTTCCACTCCATCTCAGTGTCCACCAGAGAGATCCATGAGGTGCCTCTTTAGACACATGCGGTCAGTAGGCTACCACTGTGGTGGAAAAAAAATATCAGGTACTAAATCTGAATTGGAATGAGCCACCTGCCAATGGATGTCTAACCTACGAGTCCCCAAGCTTTACAATCTGACCACCTATGCACGCGCCTTTCCTTGTCCAGGCTTCACCAACGTTCTCAAGATCCTGACCAAAGAGAGCAGTCGAGATGAGCTGCTGTCCTTCATCCAACACTACGGCTCCCACTATATCGCTGAGGCCCTGTACGGCTCAGAGCTCACGTGCATCATCCACTTCCCCAGCAAGAAGGTTCAGCAGCAGCTGTGGCTCCAGTATCAGAAAGGTAAGCCCAGAGTGCGGTTCCGAGGTGGTGGTGGGGAGGTGTAGGAGGCGGCGACTGCAGAGACAACTGAGCTGCCTCAGATGTAAATCTTGGCCCTGCTATGTATGCACATGTGTATATACACATATATGTGCTTGTATGTGTATGTGTATACACACACACACACACACACACACACACACACGCACACACAACGGGCAGTAGGGAGAAATGATTCCTCAGGATTCTTTTCAGTATATGTAATTCCTGAAGCCTCAGTTTGCCCTAGACGACAGATCCTCAGGTTTACTGTAGGCTCGATGTTTAAGATTCTTCCAACGTCAAGCAGGAAGGAGAGGGAGAAGGATCAAAGACCACTTGGCAGTGGTCTATCCTTGATAGTCTTCTTGGGAGAATCCAGGAGGAGTTTGCGCTCCTCTGGAAAAGCTACATCATACCCAATCGACAGTTATAATTCCTCTGCGTGCACAGGCCCTGGGACTTAAACTCAAGGCCTGCACTCTGCCCCTGAGCTTCTTTTGCTCAAGGCTAGCACACTACCACTTGAGCCACGGCTTTACTTCCAGGTTTGTTTGTTTTGGGGTTTGTTGTTGTTGTTGTTGTTGTTTCATTTTTTGTCGAGCATGGGGGTTGAATTCGGCCTGGGCGCTGTCCCTCAGCTCTTCAGTTCAAGGCTAGCACTCTAGCACTTGAGCCACAGTGCCACTTCCAGCTTTTTCTGCTTGTGAGGTGCTAAGGAATCAAACCCCAGGGCCTCATGCATGAAAGGAAAGCACTCTACCACCTTCCCAGCCCCCAGTTTGTTTGTTTGTTTGTTTTTATGGTTAATTGAGATATGAATCTCACAGACTTCCTGCCCAAGTTGGCTTCAGACCACAATCCTCAGATCTCAGCTCCCTGAGTAGCTAGGATTGTAGGCATGAGCCACCAGAGTCTGGGTGGTATTACCAGAGTTAGAATCCCACCACTGCAGGTTCAAGAAACTAGTCTGCCATTGGGAAAGTCCTTTTTTTCCTGTAAGTGTTCCCTTCCTGTGAAATGAACACTTAAGTGACAATTTGTGTCTATTTCCCACATTAAAGGAAGAAGTGGTTTGTGGACTAGCATTTTGAGGAAGTTAGAAACATTGCACCTGGGGGCTGGGAAGGTGGCTCAGTGGTAGAGCACTTGCCTTGCATGCATGAGGCCCTGGGTTCGATTCCTCAGCACCATATAAGCAAAAAGAAAAAAGCCAGAAGTGGCGCTGTGGCTCAAGTGGTAGAGCGCTAGCCTTGAGCTGAAGAGCTGAGGGACAGTGCCCAGGCCCAGAGTTCAGGCCCCACGACCGGACCCCCCCCAAAAAAAGAAAGAAACATTGCACCTGTACTTGCAGGTGTTGGTAGGTCCATGTATGGATACTTCTGTTTCACATTTGAGAAACGGAGACTCAAACATGCCAAGTCAAGTACCCATTGGTACACAGCTAGTAAATGGCAGAACCAGGGCCAGAAACCACAGCTGATTTTGTGGCAAAACTCCATGTTATTTCCCTCCTTTATTGCAGTTTCTTGGTATAATTAGTACTATTAATATGAATTATTTACCTAGTAAGAGAAAGGCTCTTAAGGTACAAACTTACTTCCGACTTGTTTGTATGACTGAGCCATCTTATCTCCAAAAACTGAACCGCTCGTCATTCATCAAGCATAGATGGTGTGAGAGCCAGATTGGACTCTAAGTTCACACTGAGCTCTGCCTGCCAATTTTGTTTGTGCAAAGACACATATCCCCTTGGCCAGGTAGTTGTGCAAAGGAAGTATTTAAGCAAGCAGCTTATGAGTACAATGCCTTTCAACATTCCAATGCTTTCGCTAGCTGCTCTTTGTCTGTGGGTTGAGGTCCTGCATTGGCCTTTGTTTTCTCCAGACCTCCCCCTTTTGCCTCTGGAGGTTCTACACTACCCCACTCATGCTTGCACCCTGCCTGCTTCTCATACGCAGCTATGAGGCATGGATGGTTTATAGGCTCAGAAGACATAATTGAATTGTCGGGGAATAGCTTGGTTTTATGGCTGTGACAATGACAGTCTTTAAGGAAGTGCATTAAATCAATAGAAGTCTCATTGTGCTGCCCTATAAATAATGTGCCACATCATTAAACAGGGCAATAAGCTTCAGGAGTTTAAAGCAATACAATTAGGTTATGTTTATAAAATCCTTCGCTCACTGCGGCCACTGAACTAATTTCCTTAGTGCCATCTTCAGGACCCGAGACGTTACTCTGATACTAGCTTCCATCCTATTTTCATCATTGGTTGCTTCCAGGACTCAGATCTCCTCGTTCTGGAAAATCTCATTCCGTAGGTAGATGTTAGACAAGAATGTGTTGCCTGTGTAAGGTGGGAGAAGGAGCAGGAAGAATGCCACCACAGGGCCTCCCTTTAGGTCTGGTGTGCTACAAACTTTGAGTGAACTTGCGTGATTTCTGAGTGACCTTGAACTTTGAGTGATCGTTGAACTTGGAGTGATCTTCCATGATCCATTCTTGCTTCCGAGTAAGCTGCTAAGATGAGTGGAGGTCCACTTGCACCATTCTCATTGTGTTTCTTCCTCTCTGGCCACTCAGATGGTCCATCGTCCACTCTGGGTTTATGTTAATATTTGGCAAGGATGCTAGGAAGTAATTTACTTCTGTATGAATGGAGGAATGCCTCAGGTATGTGCCATTGAACAGATGAGATTTCCCATCCTGCTTCCTCTTCTCACACCCCTGCCAAGTAACTCTGGGCCAAATAACTTCTAAATCTCAGTTTCCTCATGTATCAACAGAGAATAGTAATTTCTTTGCATAACTTTTGGGAGGATGAGCTGAAATCATGAAGGTAAATTGCCTGACACTTAGTAAATACATGCAATTTTTTTTAAGTAGCTTGAAATAAAACCACAATGGCTAATGTGTGACCTCAACTTTTATTTCTGCCTGTGAACTATACATGCCACTGGGTACAATCTCCAAATGTCTATCTGTCTTTTCCTTCCTTCCTTCCTTCCTTCCTTCCTTCCTTCCTTCCTTCCTTCCTTCCTTCCTTCCTTCCTTCCTTCCTCCTTCCCTCCCTCCCTCCCTCCCTCCCTTCCTCCCTTCCTTTCTTCCTTCCTTCCTTTCTTTTTTACATTTTTTATTAGCACACATGAGTTACACAGAGTGATTTCACTGTGATGCTTTCATATATGAATACAATACACCCCAATCAAACCCATTCCCCTTCATGACTCTCCTCCCCTTCCCCCTTCTTGAGACAAATTCAACAAGATTTTCATGGGTATGGAAAGGTCTTAGAGAGTCTTTCAAATCTATTAATTAAGTGAAATCCGAGACACAGATGAAAGATTCCCCTGGACTGAAAGGATCAATCCTGGAAGAGCAGGTTAGGGAATGGACCAAACAGGGCACAGAAAATAGCCATAGACTTTCTTCTAAGCTGCTTGTTATCCTGTTTGTCTGCTGACCAAAACAAAGAAGGCATGTGTATTCACATATCTTTTGCAGAACAGAAACCTAGGCTCAGTTAAAAAAAAAAAAAAAGGTTTCCATGGCATGGTTCCTCAGTGAAGGAGCCAAGCTGAACCCAGGGTTTCCTTCCTCTCAGACACAACCTCCTCATCGATTGGAAACAAGCATTCCAGCCCTTCCTGATGTACTAATATTGGCCACCATTTGGATCCAGGGCCACCACTACAAGTCACTGGAAACCCAAGGGGCATGGGGTGAAGAAGCTGCCTGTAGAATATTTCTCAGGAGAGTTTTCAGTCTCCTTCACGCAAGTGGTTCTAAGTGCATTTCTGGGGTGTGCGGGGGCCCTCACATTTGTCATTCATCAGGAGAGTTTTCAGTCTCCTTCACGCAAGTGGTTCTAAGTGCATTTCTGGGGTGTGCGGGGAAGGACCCTCACATTTGTCATTCATCAGTTCTTTGGTTCACCACAGTGAACTCTGTGCATACCTTGTGCCAAGTGCTGAGCACCTGAGTAGGTAAGATGTAGGTTGATTTAGTCTCTCAACATTTCATTGTTTCGTTATAGATTTTGTTGGTTTTTTTTTTTTTTTTAAGTCTACTTGTAGGCAATTGGGAAAGGGAAGGGACGTGCCCAGTAGCTCTCCTGTATCAGTTCTGACCATTTAAGGCTTCTCTAGACCACTTAATGGCAGTCATTAGGATCATTGAGAAAGAGCTCTGCAATGTTTGTTCTAGGTTAAGGAAGGGAATACATTGGTTCCTACCCTATAGATTTTCTTCTCTGCCATAGGAAAATTAAAAGCTAGAATAAAAAGGACTTAACTTCTGATGCTGATTGTAGAGAAGGCCTGGGCATGCTAAAATGATGGGAAAGATCCAAACAGGCAGGTAGAGTTTTCTATAACCAGATGGGAGTTTGGGGTTTTTCCATCCATTGAAAGAGGATGGAAGCACTAGACAGATCAATAAGGTAGAGACCAGTTGGATTCCTAATCTGGGTAAAGATGGGTTTCAGGAGACAACTGGAGTACTGAAGTCATTTCCTACGATACAAATCCTGAATGTCATTAGCTTTGCATGTTGGAGTCCTTTAACCAATGAAACAAGGTTTTTAGATCCCAGGCCCAGAGGTCAGGAATCGAGAGTTTGGTCCAAGCAGTCACCCTCCTATGCCAAATAAAGAGACATGGTAAAGGGCAGAAAAAGGGAGATTTATTACATGGCAGCCCTGGGAAGACCGCAATTCGGTACATCTTCAGCCACTTTCAAGGATATAGATTTTGACATCAGGTTAAATAAGAAGACCTGGGAGCAGTGAATGAGAAAGGTCTGCACAATTTAAACAGTCCCCAGTCACCAGTGTGGCCTGCTTGACCATTATCTCAGTCTTTATCCTTGTGAGAATTCCACTTTACCACTTTATTACTGGAACAGAACACGAACAAGGTGGTCTCCTGAGTTTCTGGGTGTTCAGCACCTAGGCGCTGTCCCTGAATTTTTCTGTTCAA